TCCCTCCGAGCGCTTGGACAAGGCGAGAGCTTCGGAGAGGCATTGATATCTTTCGTTTTTGCTTTAGTTCTTAGCGCAGTTTACTTCTGGTTGATATTCTAGCATTGGCGGAAGTAATGAATTCGTCTATAGACGGTTCAGTTTAAGCTGACTCGGGCACTGTCGGCTGTAGCTACAATCGTGCAGCTACAAACAGGGACGTGAGAGGGGTGTGATTCTTTCCTGGGGTAGGCAATCCCGCCTCACTGTCCAGGATGCATCGTTGTGTGGCTCCAGGCGGCAACGCCAGGGGAGTGCCATGTGACAATAATGAAATGATCAGGATAATAAACTATGATGGGCGATTTGCTATTAACTAGTAGAATGCTATGCATTAAAGGCTGAGTGTGTCTCCTGATTTAAATGAACTGAAATAAATTTAAAAATTCAAAATAATTTAAAAATTTTAATTTGACTTCTGATTGTGAATTAAACCTATTCTAATTCCTTATACTTTGTCTTTATTCGTGGGAGTGTCATCGGCGTGCTCGGGAGGTCCCCGGGGGCCCGGACGACATCGGCACTACCAGATTTGGACTCAGCGTGCGAGAAAACCCCCTAACACGATATTTCAGTCGTCCTGATCGTTCCGAGGTTGACGGTCGGTCGGTCGGCCAAACCGTATCTTATTTTGACAGCCCCAAATGGACTCACGCCAGACGTGATAGGCAACACATCGACCACCACACAGCTGACAAGTGTTGGTGACGGGTGTACGTTGAGCGTTCTGTGGTTTTGGTCATTTACTGCTGTCTAACTTCAGCCAGAACCACTTTATATTTAACTTATGTGGCCAAGACAAGAGGTTATGAAAAAAATTTAAAAAGAAAGACGATTTGTATAGTTCCATGCTGCCTGTTTTATTTAAGATATTTAATCTGAAATAAGATACAAATTGCATGTGCTGCAGTAATAAAATAGGAGAGAATACAAAGGGTTTGCTTCGAGTGTATGTCAATTAATAATAATCAGATGAGCGTTAATGCAGCCTTGACCAGTCAGTCCTTTCCGAGGGTATGATTAGTAAGTAGACACTCTTTTAAAAAGATAGAGGCAGATAGCTTGAGTTACAATTGTATGAAATCTAAACTGAAGAAGCTTCATTTCAGTATGAAAAACAACAGAACAGCTTTGCATTGTATCACCACCGTATAATTAAAAGACCACATAATAATTTGATATTAAACAGCCTTCGCGTTAGGTTCTGAGAGGACCTTCTATGCAAAGAAGGCACGTCAGACCCTACAAGAGTATTCGAAAAATACGCAGTTAAATTTTACTTGAAGATAAAAATTATTTACTCTAGCTGTGTTTCATAAGAATGTTAGAAAAAATGTGTAAGAGAATTA